GAGATGTTGACGATATTAAACTTAGAATACATTGTATATAGATCATATCTCAAACAGACATCATACTCCATATTACAGGATGCATATTAGATACTACTAGTGTATTCAGTATGAATTCTGTTATGAGGAGTATGTCTATGCATGTTACTTATGTAGTCGGATTGATGTCTGTTTTATTATCACTGGAGTAAGAGGATATTCCCTTGAACTTCTCCTCACTTCAAAGTCATTTTGATATGATTCATGCCTGAAGCATACAAGTTATTGCACTACCACTAAAGGGCGATTGCATACTCACTGATGTAATTGAAGAGGACCATGAATTAAATCCAAGATAATAATTAGCTAACTCTTGGCATCTATTTAAACCAAGGTAATACTGATTGGGATCAACTGACCTCTTAGGATCACACTTTTTAATCTGAAATACAAAACATATAATAATCTGTAATATTTCAGGTTATAAATAAATCAGCACATTTTAGGGACAACTCATTTATGTTTCACACTGACTAAATTGGATTCATACAGCATATCTAGTCTCAACAAATCTATGTAGAGATGGCTGTCCTAAAAATAAACAACAGCTATTTTATGCAAATTCATGCAGACATCTATTGTTAAGACTTTGAAACTGTTGAGTGTTATCACAGACCCTTTATAGAGTGTTCTCTATAGAAGGACTGTGGTTTTATTCAGGCAGTTTGGGCTAATTTACGTTCAATATAAGAGTGACTCTCCCCAACAGCATTTTAAACAACCACATTTGAATTCACGTTGAGATTTTAATTAGCCACAAAATGTGGGTGATGATAAATTGCGATTATGAAAAATATCCAAAATTAATATGCGAAATTATCACAATTAAAACTTGCAAAAGGCATTATGATTTTATTGCTAACACAAAGGCTGCTTACAATTTGGGAAATTTACAACATGATAAAACACGAATTGCTTGAATGATACAAAACGTGCAGAATGCCCTTGATATACATGGATAAGAACTTAGCCATGTATGAAATTAGCTGGATAACCTCTGATTGGCTGAATATAAAAATTTTCAAATACAGATCAAAAACACTTTTAAAATCCAACTAAAACACCTACCACATTTGTAAGCAATTGTTTAGTACTTGTTATTTAAAATAATTTATCCCACCTACTTATTTATATAATTCTTATTGTTGTTTATCTTTCTATAATCAAATCTATGGTACACTATGTCATACAGTGTATTAGCAAAGAAAATAAACGATTATACTCACAAATAGTGCTTGATCCATGAGTGTCCTACCATTCATGATACGTCTGGCTTGCACTGCTGCATTGTGGGAGTAATACTTAACAAAGGCATAGTAACTTTTGATGGGAGTTTCATTGTCATCTTCTTCTTCATTTATTGCAATGAGTTTCCCAACATGTACTTGTACATTGTACAGCAGACCAAATCGTGAGAAAGTATCATTGAGTTTAGCCTGACAAAGTAAAGTGGTTACCAGAGTTATATACATGTTGTCATGTATGACAATGAAGACTGTTCCAGACAGACAGATGTAAAAGACAGGATGTTCCAGACAGACAGATGTGAAAAACAGGATGTTCCAGACAGACAGATGTAAAAGACAGGATGTTCCAGACAGACAGATGTAAAAGACAGGATGTTCCAGGCAGACAGATGTAAAAGACAAATTGTTCCAGACTGACAGATGTAAAAGACAGAATGTTCCAGACAGACAGATGTAAAAGACAGGATGTTCCAGGCAGACAGATGTAAAAGACAGGATGTTCCAGGCAGACAGATGTAAAAGACAGGATGTTCCAGACAGACAGATGTAAAAGACAGGATGTTCCAGGCAGACAGATGTAAAAGACAGGATGTTCCAGACAGACAGATGTAAAAGACAGGATGTTCCAGGCAGACAGATGTAAAAGACAGGATGTTCCAGGCAGACAGATGTAAAAGACAGGATGTTCCAGACAGACAGATGTAAAAGACAGGATGTTCCAGGCAGACAGATGTAAAAGACAGGATGTTCCAGGCAGACAGATGTAAAAGACAGGATGTTCCAGACAGACAGATGTAAAAGACAGGATGTTCCAGACAGACAGATGTAAAAGACAGGATGTTCCAGGCAGACAGATGTAAAAGACAGGATGTTCCAGACAGACAGATGTAAAAGACAGGATGTTCCAGGCAGACAGATGTAAAAGACAGGATGTTCCAGGCAGACAGATGTAAAAGACAGGATGTTCCAGACAGACAGATGTAAAAGACAGGATGTTCCAGACAGACAGATGTAAAAGACAGGATGTTCCAGGCAGACAGATGTAAAAGACAGGATGTTCCAGACAGACAGAT